TATATATATATATATATATATATATATATATATATATATATATATATATTCATATATGCATGTATATATATACGTTGCACAAATAATATAGATAACAATATGAAAATTATAACATTAAATCATTGTACCTTAATATATTTTTGAAGTGAAACTTGTAGATGGGAACGAGGAGGGGGACGGGAACTAGGGCAGGTACCGGTGGAACGATGGGGCCAACAAATTCGTTTAACACAATGTAGGTATTTGTATAATGTGCTTTTGCATATAGAGATGGCAGTAATATGTGTTCGTGTATATGGCATGTAAGTAGAGACTTTAGGCTAAAAGTAACTCGTTTTAGTGCAATGGATTAGATAAGGCTCTGCGCACCATTCACTTGAACAATAAAGACATAGACATAGTTACATTGATGAGCGTATAATAGTTCAACTTTGTTAGTGCAGTGCTTACATACATATATATGTACACATATATAAAAATATACATATGTATATATATACATATATATATATAGTACTGTATATGTATATGTTTACCCTGTCATATATAAACGTACACATACAACACAAAGTGACATAAAAGAGGAGAGGAAAGTAAGTATGACGAGAGAGAGATAGAGATAAAAATAGAGAGAGATATAGAGAAGAAAGAAGAAGAAGGAGAAAGAAAGAGAGTGAGAGAGAATGTATACCTAGAGATGATGGGAATGCATGACAACGTACATACAGACATATGTATGTACTAGCTCAAAACGATTTTAGTTACGTAAACCCATTTAAAACGCACACACACGCACACGCTCACGGATAAAGGCATTCTTTGGTCAAGCCTCGCCCGTAAAAGCCTCAATCTACCCAAGTCCAAAAGCACATTTGGCTAACATAGGTATAAAGCAACAACTATTAGCTCTCAAATTGGTTGGCCTAGCATAGCAATACTTGAGAGCTATCGGAATACACATACATATATACATATGTATGTAGCTGGTCAGCTCGCCTGGGCTCCGGCTGAGCAGATGAGCCACATGGTTGAAGGTAAATGAAAGCAAGTTGTGGCAAGTTGCATTTTATGTACACATTAAATTTTTATTTAAATAATAACACATTGTTTGTTGTTGTTTTTATTTTTATGAAAATATTTACTTTCATTTTCTCGTTTTCGTTATAAACTTTACGAATTTATGAATTAAAGGATTTCTCAGTTTGGTTTTCAATTTCATTCTTTCGCTTTCCGTAAGGTTTGTCTATTTGACATTTACATAAAAGTATTTTATTTTGTTCCTTAATCGAAATTAATATATTTATTTTGTGTTTAGTTTTTTCTCATTTACTAAATGACTATTGAAATAGGTTTCAGTTATCATATATACAAACGCTGAGAATTAGGTTTTCTTTCGAACAGAAGCAGAAACTCAAGAGTTTACCTTAATTGCAGTAGAGAGATGAATGTGTGTAAATGAATCCAAGTTACGTTTATTAATCTATTGATTGTATATATATACTGTATGCATATATATACTGTTTACTGTATTCATTAATACAATTATATATGTTTGCGATACATAAAGTATATGTATTATTTCAGTGGACAGTCGAGTGCAGAGAACAAATATTTTCTATTGCTTTGCGGTTGCCGTTGCTGTCACTGTTACTGGTCTGTTACTGTTACTATTTCTGTTAGTGTTACTGTTATGCATTTGTTGAACTATTTTTGATATTTTTCTATCCCAAATCCCAAACTTTGTTTATTCTCTCACTCGATTTCCTTTCTTTGCAGTTTTTTTTTTATGAATGTTCATAGATTACGTTTATACTCAAGTAGTAGTATATGATATCGGTTGTTGTTGTTAGTTACTATTGCTCTATTTAAGTTGTTGTAGTTGCTTTGTCTATGGGATGTATTGTAGTACTGTAATTGTAGTTTATCGTAAGCAATATATTTATATATGTGATAAAGAGTGCGGCTTGGAGCTAATGTTTCATTGAATAAACATATATGTATATATACATATGTATGTACTTATATTGTTTTGCTTAGACTGGACTGGGAGAAGCATTTTTGTAACTATGGAGAAACGAAACTGTACTCATTTATTACCTTTTGCTCTTTTTCAAAGCAGAGAACATATTTACTATGGTTTTCATTGCTCTTACTGTTACGGTCACTGCTATTATTACTGTTAGTGTTTCTGTTTCTATTACTGTTAATGTTTCTTTTAATGTTTTTCGAGTATGATATTTATATGCTTAGTTGTTTTTTTGTTTTTGATGCCTTATGGTTTTATTTTAGCTTGGATTAGCTCAAAACATGAATACTGTGTAATTTTCTTTATTTAATTTTATATAGATATATTTATGTTTTTGTTTTGTTATGGAGTAACCTGTTAACATAAATAAAAATACAATAATTGAAATATAGTTTTTGAAGTTTCTTTCTATGTTTTTGTTTCTGTCTATGCATCGTTTATAATCATAAAAGTGGAGAGCATTATGCAAATTGACTTATATATATATATATATATATATATATATGTCTGTACACGGCTATGAACTAGGTATGTAGACTTGATGTAAACTGTATTAAAAGTATGCATTTATCTTATATTCTATTGTTTATCTTTTGTTTCTGTAGCTGTAAATAAAACATCCTTTTAGTATTTGCTGTTTGATATTTACACTCATGGTTTTTTCTCCACTTATTTCATTGTGTTTATTTATTTATTTATAAATGTTTTTTTTTTTTTTTTTTTTTTTTTTTTTTTTTTTTTTTTTTTTTGGGCATTTGCTATGTGAAAAAAAATGTATTTAATTGAAATGCTTATGACACAATTTCAGAATAAAAGGTAATAAGATATATATATCTTGCGATAAGGCTGTAATGGTTGAGCCATCAGTCAACAATCAATCAATCAATCACATTCCTGCGTAATCGAAGGTTCTCTTATTGTTTTTGTAAACTTATTTATAATGCCTAAAACTTTGTGTTCATAAAATTTGGTATACAAAATAAGAATTATTAATAATAATAATAATGATAATAATAATTACAATAATAGTAGCATAGTATAAACATCAGTTATGTATTTATACTATGCAATTTAAATTAAAACGATTTCTCAGACTTTTCGTTGTGCCAAAAAAAAAAAAATAGTTTTCACTCTCTGACCGAGTACCGTTCACATTCATATGGATATAGCTATTGTATGTAAAAATGCATAAAAAATAAAATTTCACTACACGGTCTACATGTTTATTATGCATATATGTATGTATAAATGTAAGTATGTACGTATATACATTTACATATGTTGCTTTCCATGTACATCATGTATAGAGAGAAAATTATGAACATTAAAATGTAGATGTACTTCATCTGATGCATACATTGTTCATATCAATATTCTTATATACATATGTATGCACTGATAAGAGTAAGCAAAGGGTTAAATGATGTACAGTATTCACGTTGTTCGTCGACTATTCCGAAATTGCACGCTTATCAATAATGCTATTCGTTCTTCTTCTCGTCTTCCTCTTTCAATTGCTTTCAATTGTTTTTGTTGTTTTGTTTTAAGGATACTTCAAAAGTTCAGTCTTTAAAAATCAATATGTAATGCAAATGAAAGTCTAAAAATACGTCGTTTAGTCCGAATTTCTTTTGATTATACATTCATGAGCTCCATTTCGCTCAGTATCTTTTCCAAATATACATATGTATGTATGTGCCAATGGGGAGTTACTAGAAACAAAACACATCGTCCCGCTGGGATGGGCAATTTAATTGCCGTACTTCTTCTTCTTCTACGCCACGTCAATAAACATGTAAGAACATAATTTAGATCTCTTATAGTAATTTTGGATTAATTTGCAATTTGCCATTTGGGTTGTGCCTAAAAACTATCAGTCCTTCTAACTCTATCCGTTTTGAACCTAAGAAAACCTCTGTCAAAAGTCCTCAATATACACGCATACATACATATGCATGCATATATATTGTTAAATAAAATTTTGGTTTATTTTCGAATCAATTTGATGATCAAAGGCTACAAAATGTAAAATCCGTCGTTGTGTGTAGTTTACGTAGCTATATCTGTCTATATACAGAGCTTTATACAATTTCAATTATTGATTTTAGATACTACTTTGATGGATGTGCAACTTATACATAGCATTTTTCTCGAATAAATTTAAGATCGACTAATGCTTTTCTTATGTGTAAACATGTACATCTGATATATGCATTGATGTATACATTCTCTCCATTATTATTATTGATATATTTTACACATATGCATAATTATTATTTCCATAGTTTTCAGTGTGTAAAAAAAAAAAAAAAAAAAAAAAAAAAAAACACACACAGTTATTCTTAAGATTAAATACTACTACGAGTGGTATATAATATATGGATATATCTATTTTTCTTCTTGTTTTTACATAGATTTTAAGTCTAAATGCTTGTATGTATATATATAGTATATTGTATATATATATGTATATCATTTTGTGAGTATGTTTAAAAAAAATGTTAAAAAAGAATGTATATACATACATATTATATATATACATCTATATGAATATGAAAATAAAATAAAATAAAAAATTGAGCATACGCGTGGATAGTTTGTTGTACATTGAATGTTAGTTAATATGTTTCATGTTGTATGTTGCATATTTTGCTGTTGCCGACCAACAAGCAGTATTGTCAAAACGGAAAGTGTTAAAGTAACTAGTGTTGTAAAGTAGTGTGTGAGTAAGTAGTGTTTGTAAAGCACTGTGTATGAGATACTAAATTCAGTTTGTTGTTTGCCATTTAGGAATATGGAAGCTGCTACAATGGTGACAAATCAACCTTATTCAAGTACATATGTATATATAGATATATATATATATATA